GATGTAAATCCATTCAAAAGACTTCACTTAAAAACTACCAGAATACATACATATGTAATATATGACTTTAAACTCCTTTTTTTAAATCAATTGGTAAAGCTCGTGATTAACCAAAGTGTTTGTACCATAGATCTAAATCTTTTACTCTAGAAGTCTGGTGTAAGGATAAGGCAAAATGAAGTGATAAAGAGTAATGTTAAACAAATAAAAAAGAACAATGCAGATATAGTTTTCATACCATTATAACAACTCGATTTTAAAGATTTTGAAGCTCAATCTTTTCATTAAAAGAATTTTAAGAATTTGACAAGTTATACATTGGCAATAAAGTCTGAAAAGTTGGGACATTTTCTTAGTTTCATTAAAGAGTGTTAAGGGATTTGTCCCCTTCCATCAAATGGGTCTTCGCTTGTGATTGGACATTTTTACTGTTTGGTCCAATATGTTTTTTAATTAGACGTTTTAAACAACCATAAAAATCTGAATTGCCTATATTTATAACCTTGAACATTATAATCCTCCTATAGATTTTGTTTTAACGTTATAATAAAAATAGATAAAACGGAAACAAAATTACATGATCTCTTTGCTAATAACTAATCAAATATACCAGGCTAATAATTGTGCAGGACAGACGCGCAGTCAGTCTACAAAAGACTCATTAGTGACGCTCGAATTAAAAAAGGTTAAAAAACCAAATAAAGTATGAAGTTAAAGATGTTCGTTCCTCTTGTTTTTGGATTTTTGCAAGATTTTTCGGAATCCTCTGGTTTTATCCATGTAATGCCATTAAAAATTTTGCCCCCTAATCCCTACTTTTCTTTTCATAATTTTATTACATATATATATTTAGTTTAAAAAGCCATATTTAAAAATCTTATAAAATCCTTGTTATTTTTTCATAGTTTTTGAAAGGAAAAAGGTGACAATGTTATATGTATGAAAAATCTAGAAAAAATCATTTCCCACCAAATTTTCAATGGCTTATATCTCGAAAACAAGCACACGGACCCTTCATTTTTTTTCATTTTTTTTCAGCATTTTTAGTTTCTTTATTTATATACTATCAATTTATATCAGTCTTTTAAAAAGCGTGTTATTTTGAAAAAGAGTAGCGAACATCCTTTTAAAAAGAGCTTTTAGGTCCAAAATAAAATCCGTACAGTATTGTCAAATACAGTTACGGTTATCTATTCCAGGGATAGACAAATGATACATCTTCATGGAATAAGATTAAATATCTTTATATCTGGTTTAATTATTTTCCTTCATTGATAAAGAAAATCTTTAAATGATTCAAACCTGCATATCAGTCTTTTTTATATAACTACGTATAGTGATTTTGTGTCATAAATTGATTCACACTATCCTTTTTTATTCTATTTAAAAAAAAATCCAAAATAACAAAATCTCAAAGTGATCATGTAAAAGCTATAACAAGTCGTTTTTATCTATTATTGTGTCGTTTCCATGAACAGGCAAAAACAATAATTGGATTTTATATCATTTTAACATATTTCACAAAACAAGAGTGAAATAAGAGCATATATGATATTAAACATCAATCAGGATAATGGATACTTAATTGTTCAAAAATAGCTTGAAGTATTATTGATGAACGAATGGATTTTTTCTAAAAAAAGAAATCTTCTAAAAGGGATGCGCTTAAATAGAATGCACTTTGTTAGTAAATGGACACATTTCAACGTAATACTATGATTTCTCTATTGTGCATATAATTACATCATTTTTATTTTATCGACCTTTGAAATAAATAAGACCAGGATGAACAGTTGCGTATACATTTAACAATTGTCGTTAACCTCAACAAACATTTTGATACAATTGGCAATCAGAATCAGGTAAAGGTCAATGGCTTCCTGTCAAGAATGTGTGACTTAGAAAGGTGGACAAAAAGTAATGTTGATCCGTTTTGGACGATAACTTAAACATTGAATGAACGCATTTATACAACTGAAAATAATTAAATACCACGAACAAAATTTTGCATTACTTTGTATTCGTACGTTGCCAGATTTCGGAAAAGAAAATGAAAATCCTAAAACCTGAAAATCATTTTTGCTTATTTTATGTCAATCATGACAATAACATGAAATATAGTCTGATTCGTTTTTAAAAACATTATTCATGCTTTTTGTATACTTTTACAAAATTCAAACTGAAAATTCGAAAAAAGTCCAGTATTTTACTTTATGAAAAAAGAAATTCTCTCTTTAAAGAAATACAACGTGACTTTTCAACTATTGCATTCGTTTATTCGGCCAGCTGAAGCCCGACTCAGGGTGGGGGTTTTCTCGCTGTGTTAAAGACCCATTAATGGCCTTCGGCTGTTTTCTGCTCTTCGGTCGGGTTGTTGTCACTTTGACACATTCCTCATTTCCATTCTCAATTTTATTTAGTATTATACATTTGGCCATGTAGTTTCTCAAGTATTCAATTATTTATACATTCTTGGATTTCAAATTTTGGAGTTTAAGCGATCCTTGAAAGCGCTTCAAACTCATCGAATTTATAATTGTTGTATATTCATTTTCAAGCAGTACTGCTAGCCCTCCAGGGTGACATCAGTGCGGTACGTAGTCAGTGCCTCTACACCGACATGATTCATAACAAACCTTTCTGAATTTTTTCGGGGGTAATTTATAAATGATATACAGTTCCGACTCCCTCAAGCAAAATCGATCTTGGCTGATTCGGCTATTCTTTTTATGTACTTTTTGGGCATATAGTTCCTCAAGTATTGGTTTCCGAACGCGCCAAATTTAATTTTTGTTTAAACATATTTTTATTTGACAACATGACACATAAAGTATGATTGCATTATTATCTAATATTTTATTTTTGCATTTGTTTTTAATGGTATAGTTGTTTCAAAAGCATAAGTTATGATATAAAGCTATATGGACCTTTTGACAGTGAAGCAGGGGGCAGTTGACCACACCTCCAAAACTTTGGATGCTATAACTGCAACATTGCTTGTAAAAAAAGTTTTAAAAAGGCGTGACTTATTTCTCAAGTCATCTTCCCAACCCCTATCATACTCAACTGTTATATCCGCCGCTTGCGAATATAATAGAGGACATATTGATATATGAAAAAAGTTTTTATACTACAGTTACCTCTATAATTATGAACTTAGTAGAATTAAAAGCAACAGAAATTAACAGAAAGGAAAAAGACATAATCAGCATAACGGCATCGATCAAAATATTGTTAAAACCGCTAAAGCTTACTCTGACAAGTGTCATCGATCAAAATATTGTAAAAATATATTGAAAGCCTCTTCTGTCAATAACAAAAACGTACTACAGGTTAATACTACCATTGCTGATATCTGAAGTTTGATCTCCGATAGTGGTTAAATCTGTCTATTCTCAACAACGATTGAAGTCACTAAATATTCCGGAATTTATTCAAGGCTTTTGTTATGTTAATTTCATTGCCTGTGGTTTTTATTCGCCAAAATACCTTTCATCATTTGTGTAAAACTATAATTTAGGGGAATTAGTATCTTTGATCACAAAGATATAAAAAATACAAGTCAAATCGGATGTGAAAAAGACATGAGTTAAAAAAAGAAGATAATACATTCTAGGTTGTATCAATAAATTTTAAAAAGGAGATGTGGTATGATTGCCAATGCGACAACTATCCACCAAAGACCAAAGGAGATGAGGTATGATTGGCAATGAGACAGCTATCCACCAAAGACCAAAGGAGATGTGGTATGATTGGCAATGCGATAACTATCCACCAAAGACCAAAGGAGATGAGGTATGATTGGCAATGAGACAGCTATCCACCAAAGACCAAAGGAGATGTGGTATGATTGCCAATGCGATAACTATCCACCAAAGACCAAAGGAGGTGAGGTATGATTGGCAATGCGACAGCTATCCACCAAAGACCAAAGGAGATGCTGTATGATTTGCAATGAGACAGCTATCCACCAAAGACCACATGGAAAGGATGTGTTGGGAATTGATATAAGCCAGGTGTTACCAGATGTGCTTCCGAAGAATATTGATGCTTGCCTTCTTTATTTATCATCATATCGGTCAGTAACAAGATATTCAGATCCGTGGGAATTCGTGTACTCATTTGTGATTTGTTACGAAAAATTCGGAATAAGACTAAAACCGGAAAAATTGAATCGCTCGCCATGTTTCTGAAGGCGTTTCAGGACCACAGTCATGTATTAACCAAAATCGAGTCTTTTATGAAGGTAGCTAATTAATTAATATTTTCAATCATGTTAATACGGTATTTGTAACTTATGATATCGTTTTCCCTGTGCATGACATGTGTTTCCAGAATAACCTTCGTCTGATTCCTAATGCAAAACATTTATATAACGTTTGAAAACATAAAAACCAAAAACTTTTTGAATACAGGAGTTTTAAACTTTAATATTGAAAAGTTCTGTCATTTAGAGAGTACAATATGTATCTAGAATATTCAGCATCACTTAAACAAATCAGATACAGTTTCCATCAAAACATGCAAATTGGCCGCGGAAAGCATCAGTACAATAATTCATTTGGTTCATTCTCTCTGGTCATTTTGTCTACCACGTCATCAACTTTTATACACATGTAGATGGTTCATGTTAAATGTTTTTGTGCGATAATAATAGATGAAAGAACATTAAGGCAGCAATAGGTAATCAAACATCGAAGTCAATCAAACAATGCCATAACCAAAAGAGAAATAAAAATAAGAAAAACAATTGATAAAATGTTAATATGGTCTTATGAAAAAACATTTTTTTTTCAACACATTTCTTTTCCGCTGCAAACATTAGATGCAATAGTAAAATTATGCGTTTCTTTCGTGTGGTATATATCTCAATTATTTACTAACATGTTGTTTAATAGAAACAAATGTGTTAAGAGTATATTTTTGACACAATTCACAAGCTCTTTTCTTCCTTGTAATTCTGGGGGAAAGAGTTATTTTAGAATGCTTATGGTACTTACCAAAAACGTATGCTGAATGGTCAAAATACTGTTCAACGGCATCAAAGTGTTTCGCTACGGTTCGTTTATTCTTTCCAGTTCCTGATGAGTATCTTTCTACCCAGTGAACACTGGCGTAACCATGGAAACGAAGCCGTATTCCTGCAATTAAAGGTACAAGGAGATTGTTAATCAGTCCAATAACAGAAAGACATTTTACAGATTTGTAATACAAGAAATATAAATGAAAAGAAGATGTGGGGCACACGCCAATGAGACAGTAACCCAACGACGAAAATAAAAACACTAAAAAGATTTCTAGAGGACAACTCGCACTCTATAACAGTAGACATACGTGTACACATTATGTCTAGTTCGAAATTGTCCCTAGTCTATAAAGTGCATAAACCAAACAAAACAATCAAACATCTGCCATCAACAGATTTTCCGATAGACGACTTCCCAAATTCAATTTTATGAATGAACTGTCCCGGTTGACCTGGGGTCATTTTGGGAAAACGCGTCATAGGACATTGTGACGTGAAGATATTTGCTTTGTGACGTCAAATTTTTCCGGGAAAATGCATTAATTGGAAGATCGTATATTAAGAACAAACAATTAAGATATGACATAGAATAAGATATTTAGGACTTGGCACATGCCCATGCATTTGTGGTGGATTTAATTTTTGTCTTTTTTAGATTTCAAGCTTCCCTTTTTTATATTAATTCCGATTAGTGGACTAACAAGACGTACACAAATGAACGCCAATAGAAATCAATGCAGAAAAAGCACTTTACACTAATATAACGGAATACTAGATTACAATGCCTATCTTAACTGTGAGTGCACGTATGTTATCAGGTTTTAAATAAAAAAAATCCATTCACAAAGACAAAACGTTATAGTGCTATCTCACGCAATCGTATATCAATGTTATGTTTGAAACACCATACTAAATTATTGAAATTAGGTGTTGATGATATTCAACTTTTTGTACTTTTTTTATTTTTATATCTGGTTTTTGAAAAAAAAAAGAATTACTTAATAAGGAACCACACAGATTGAAAAAAATATGAAGAAAAAAAAGGTATTGTTGTTAATCATTAATTGATTACGTCGTTTGAAAAAAGGCAGATTATACAAAAAGGGCGTAGAAAATAGAAGAAAAAAAAAACATCGACCAAAAAGGAAAACGATGAAAAGACATACAATAGTCTACTACAATGATATGCAGACAACTAGACCGGGCTGATCTCCGGAAGTTCCGGAAGTGTCAGCAGATCCTGCTCTACTACTGGTATCTGTAGTGTTTATGTGGCAAATGGAATGTATCTGATACACCTGCGATCATCCCTGGTTTTTACGAGGTTCGTGTTGCTCAGTCTTTTGTTTTATATGTTGTGTTTTAGGACGTGTTTGTTTTTTCGTCGTTTTTCCTTTATTGCAAGACATTTTCAGAACGTATTACTAGTAACTTTGAATCTTTCCTTGGTATACTCCTTCTCTTTTTTTCTCTCAAGATACAAGTCAAGAGATGAGTCAGACTTATCGGTATCTGTGGTATCAATTATTCCAAGTTCAATGGAAAAGATGAGTTCAACTTAGTCGGATAAACTTTGAATTGATAAGGGAGAGGATATCATTTATACAGCGGAACGTTATGTTAAGGGATCTTTTCATTTTTCCTGAGAAGAACATGATTTATTCCAGGGATGTTATTCTAAAAATGAAAAAATACATCTTAGATCTCTACTTTAATTTTAACCTCCGCTATATAAATTAGGTTCTTTGTTTTAATGATAATATTTTTTTTTAAATTATATTATGTAATCTACAAAATGATCTTATCTAATTTGGAATCACTCTACTGAAACAGCAAAGTCTGCTTCATACACGGAATTGTAACTATTAATAGCTACAAAGGATGTTTGATAAAAAAAAATACATGTTCGCCTCTCAAGATCTTGTGTCCAACTAATCTTTAGTTATCTGTATAATGTTTTTATGGACTGGTATCTGTCTCTATAGTGTTTTTATGGACTGGTATCTGTCTGTATAGTGTTTTTATGGGCTGGTATCTGTCTGTATAGTGTTTTTATGGACTGGTATCTGTCTGTATAGTGTTTTATGGACTGGTATCTGTCTGTATAGTGTTTTTATGGACTGATATCTGTCTGTATAGTGTTTTTATGGACTGGTATCTGTCTGTATAGTGTTTTATGGACTGGTATCTGTCTGTATAGTGTTTTTATGGACTGGTATCTCTCTGTATAGTGTTTTATGGACTGGTATCTGTCTGTATAGTGTTTTTATGAACTGGTATCTGTCTTTTTGTCGTTTTCCTTTAGGTAATGGTTTATGTCAGTAGTTATTGGACTTACATTTTCGACTACCCCTTGATCTCTTCTCCCTCTTTTTGCCACTGTTGAAATTACAAAATGGCTGATCGTTCAGGCAGATATATTTATCAATACCTTAAATGCCTTACATATTTAATTACTAATTTTGACCAAAACCACATTTTACTGATTACCGGCTTCAAACACTGAACATTACGACATAAATGCGATGAAGAATAAATTTATTCTACCGAATCACTAAATATCAACCCCTGTTTTTGTGGGATTTTTTTTTATAGTTCTGTACATTTTTACTGTTGATTTTGGTTTGATTTGACTAGTTTGTCCTGTGATATTAATTTTTTTTACCCTATCCCTTCTAGTTGGTTTCATATTTACAACACATTTGTCACATGTGAAGCATGATCTGCTTACCCTTCCGGAGCACCTGAGACCTCCACGGTTTTTGGTGGGGTTTGTGTTTCTTAGTCTTTAGTTTTCTATGTTGTGTTTGGTGTACTATTGTTTGTCTTTTGGTATTTTCTTTTTTTTGCCATGGTGTTGTCATTTTTTTTTTGACTTATGAGTTTTAATGTCCATTTTCTATCTTTCGCTTCTCTTTTACAAAATATAAATACACTTAAAATATAAGCGCTTTTCTAGATTTACTTCATTAGGAACGTCCAAACCCAAAAAATTGAAAGCAAATGATATTATATGAATACGTCAGGGGCTATATAACCAACAGAGCCCGTTAAAGAATTAAATAATGTCAGTAATGTCTACTCTGCTAAAGAAAATTCCAACCTTAGGCATGGACCATTTGACTTTCTGGGGGAGGGGGGGGGGGGGGGCTTTGTTTTTTTTGTCAAGCCAGATTTTTTTTTCATCATGCAAACCGAGCAAGAATATTTTTTTTCATTTTTTTTTCATCATGCTAACCGAGCAAGAATATTTTTTTTCAGTCAATCCAAAGCAAGAATATTTTCATCAAATACATCATACATGTCATACTTGCTGAAGATGAAGCCAGAATGTTTTTTTTTAGCAACTGAATAGGCCAGATTATTTTTTTTCACTTACTAATATTTGATGATAATAACTACTAATTAAGTATTTTAAGTATACAGCGGACGACAAGTTGGGTAATTTATTCTATTTCCTTATTTGCCTTTTGAGTGTAAAAAAGTAAACAGTTGGCCAATTGATATTCATTTTTTTCATATTTACAAATGAATTGCAAAAAAGTAAACATTATCAAAGCTATTCATATTGTTTATACATAAAGCTTAATAACAAAATTAGCTGTTCCCTGTTTGACAATCATGTGGTTTTTAATTGGTTATTTGTATAACGAATAGGTTATGGTTTTCTGTATGACGCCTAACGTTTTCCCTGATTAATAAATCCTTCTTTTCAAATAAAAAAAGATTGAAAAATTTCATTGACAGGACATCCCTGTTAGATTATAGTTTACTGAACAAACAAGAAAAGTGTTCAGTAAATAACAATCGATTTATAGTTGTACATTCTGTCATCTCGATATATACAACACTCCAAGGGTCGACTAGGGTATAGAGATATGTTTATCTCTGGATTTCTCACGTCGGGAAGTTAAGGTCAAGTTACAGTAAACGGGCTATGTCAAGGACTTTCTTAAAATTTTGCATACACCTTTGGCTCGTTGAACTGTATCTGAAAATCGAAAAAATAATGCCTTTATCTCTCTTTTTTCCCCTGAAATATTACTGATTAAATTCTTTCAAAATAGGTGCCCATTTGTATAGAAAGCACATGAAATCGGCCAAAAACGTTCTTAAATTTGTCCTTAAATCATCAAATTTTCAATTTTTACTACATAGATTTTTCTTAAAAAACTACATGTTGTTGGTACAAAAGTTTCCGTTTTAATGATGTAAAATAATGATAAGTTCACCGACTTCGTTTTTACTGTAAACATCAATCAAAGTGGTGTACTAGATGAAAAAATACCAAAAAAAAAAACGTCGAAATAATCGTAACGTCATCGCGTTGTAGACCGTAAAACGTCGAATTTTGACCTTCTTTACTTCCTGCAAGGTAACGGATTGGTTAATACACAAAAAACGAAGTCGGTGACCATATGATTATTTTATTAAAACGGAAATTTATGTGTCAACAACATATAATTTTTAAGAAAAATCTATATACTAGTTACTGTAGTAAAAATTGAAAATTTGCTGATTTTAAGGTAAATTTATGAACGTTTTTCGTCGATTTCATGTGCTTCCTTTAAAAATGTTCACCTATTTTGAAAGAATTCAATCAGTAATATTTCAGAAAATAAAAGAGATAAGGTATTATTTTTTCGATTTTCATATATAATGCAACGAGCCCAAGTTACAAGCAAAATTTTACCATAATCTGTGACAAAGCCAATCTACTGTTTACTTGACCTTAAACCCATGCTAAAGTACGGCTTCCGGTAAGAATTGAACGTTAAATTCGATGTCACGTGTAGGAAGAATGCTACGCTCTGTGAACGTTAAGAAAGCCGTCCCAGTGGACAGTAGGTGGCCTGTTCCACGTCAAAAAGTTCTTCCCCCTTTCAACATACATTCAATTTCAAGTGGCAATTTCCCTTCATCCCGGTCGATCTATCTAGCAGAATATAACTATCGTATTTACTGTTAATTTGTCCTTAATAATAATAATAATTATAATAATATCTTTATTTAGAGAGAGTAACTCATTTGGATTATACCAATTTTCAATAAGGCTCTCTTAGTACAATAATAATTACATTAAAAATAAACAATACATATTCAATAATAATGATA